AAAGCCCGATCCGGGTCACCGATCCGTTTCTTAAACCATTGGTTTCTTCTATTCCCTCGATCAGAAGAGGAGGAACTCTTCCAATTATATAAAGGGTGTAATTATGTAATCTTTATATTGAGATTAATTTATGGGTTGAAGAGATTACACCCAATATTTGTGGTACTAAAATTAATTCTAAGTAGGGTTTTACTCAAAGCGATTAAAAGAAACAGCACACCCCGGCAAAAGTATAATATCTTTGGGGTTTACTGTCTACCTTCCGAGTTGAGTTCCATACATCATCCCTCTCTCTCTTTCTTCTTCCGCCTCCCCCTGACGGACACCGATGTGTTCCTGATGGACGTATGACATTTTCAACCCCAGCTTTACACTGACACATGTTCCCGAACCAAATCCTGATCTATACATTAACCTGGTCCATCAGTCTGCAGGTTGGATCATTCAAATAAAATGTGCTATTTAAAGAAACATTTAAAAAACCTTCACATCAAGAAAATCTTCACATACGATCTACCCCACGTTTGTTAGGGCGAGGATTTCAAAGAAAAGCATTCTCGAGTCAGTATTTTACAGTAAAACGCACATGTACTGTCCAACTTTCATTGATAGCTCATTCCTGCAAAATCAAAAATATATAAAACACGAGAAAACAAGGTTATCACAACTACACCAAATCCAATTTGGACGCCCAAATCATCACGCTCAGACCCTTCGTATATGCCAGCAAGCTCAAGAGCAGGAACAGCTGCGAACAAGTGAAAACATGTTTTTTCACATTCAAACACGTGAAAAGTCTGTCTCTCTCTTACATGTGAAAAGTCTCTTCTGTCTCCACAAATCATCGCCCTCAGACCCTTCATACATGCCAACAAGCTCAAGTGCAGGAACAGTTGCAAACATGTGAAAAACTCTTACATGTGAGAGTCTCCTCTCTCTCCACAAATCATCGCCCTCAGGCCCTTCATACATGCCAACAAGCTCAAGTGCAGGAACAGTTACAAGCATGTGAAAAAACTCTCTTTCGTATTTAGTTGATTAGATTCATCAATGTCATGCAAGTGTTACTTCATGGTGTTGCATAACATGAATCAATCAAATGATACACAGGTAAATGCAAGGAGCCCCACCTCTCATCCACACGCGGGACTCTCTGAAACTGATTCCTCCAAAGGTTGCTTTGATTCACCATTCGCCATATCAATAGCGACAATGCTATTTGTTCTATTAAGCTCATCCTGATTCTCGCTCTCAACCTCAATCCTCCCTGATTCACTAGGGTGCTCAAATCCCTTACTCTCACTATTAGTATCCTTCTGTCCTATGACATGACAAAGAGATACATACTTGAGAGCAAGCCTTTTATATTCATTGAGGAGTGCTTCCACATCCTCCATCGTTAAATCGCCGGCTTCTGAGTATAAGAATGGGAACTCCCGAAAAAACCCACTGATTTGTTCTTCCTTTAGAAGGTTAGAAGCCCCTTGCTTTTCCAAATCCAGAACAGATACTCCATTTGGTTTCAGAACTACTTCTTTACCCACCTCCTTGACCTGTTTTAGTGGATGCAAATGTTGGCCTTGTGGGGATTGTACATAATTAGAATAAGTTCTTGTTGGCTTTTGAGAGTGTGGTTTGGGTTCAGGAGTAGTTGGTGTTTCAAAACTGTTGGATAGGCCAGTTAGAATTAATCGTGCTGATTCCATGTTCATTTCGAACTCAGTTTCATCCATTGAAAGGGATCCTGCATCAAGGTTGGCAATGAAGGATTCTGCAGAAAGTAAGTTTGTGAAGAAGTACGCGGATTCAGAAACAAGCCGTGATTGTCGCCTGTAACGCTGTATATACAACAAATTTGAATGCAGCTGAGGAGGATTCGCCTGCAGGAGATCATGATCATCATTAGCATAAAAATTGCCACATGGAAATTAAAAGCATATTACACAATGACCTAATGGAGTATATTGGAACATCATGGTGCAATCTAATGACAGATGGTGATGGACTTAGAGTGAGACTCACCATGTTTCATGTCTTGTTCTAATGGATTGCACACTTTCCCACACTGTCCATCATTTCATTTGGGGGTAACAACCCAATGGCTTTTGATTCTTGAAAGGGTCTTATCAGATTGTAGTACAATTCCACAAACTAATAAACCATCTTCATGGAATGTTATCTTAATAAGGTTACATAGTTTAAGACCATCTTCATGGAATGTTCTCTTAAAAAGGTTTCATGGTTTTAAGTTTTATAAAAGCAAAATGTGAAACTTCTACCCCTGTACGTTGCAGGACTTCTTCAATGCCTAGTAAAATTTGTTCAAGAGGTACAAAGTTACTCTAACTAAGTTCAGCACCTAGCAAAGTGAATATGACAATACCTAGGAATAACACCATCTAATCCACGGAAACCACAGCATTTAATTTTATGGGGGCCAAGTTCCCAGCACCACCACTTCTAGTAATCATTTCCTAGAGACGAGATTTTAGCATGTTCCATATGATAAAATATTATCATTTGGACATACGAGTATACACATCACATATAATGCCTTCCACTTGCATTCCTAAGCGACTCTCAGAAATACCAGAGTCCAAGGTTTGACCTTTGCCTAAAGCAACTCCAAATGGAATGGCGACATCATAACAAACAAAATTAATATAGAAAGGCAAATAAACAAAAATGAGATTAAATAAAATGGAAAACTTATTTTGACATACAAATCCATTTAACAAGAAACCGAGTTAAATTACACTGAACAAATATACCATGTGGAGAATGTAGCCCATGTAGTATAGGCTCGTCCCCATTATCCATCTCAATGATGGGTTGTCGAAGATGAAATGTTGACTCCTCTGCTTCATGGACAATGGTGAACTTAAGGGTGAGATAGTGTTCATCCCAAGTGACTGTCACTAAGGATGTATTTTGCAGATGAGTCCATTTATACCACCTTCACGTCGTGTGAATAGAAAACTTCCCTTCCATAAATAGAATAGTTTACTATTGGAACGTAATAAATGCTTTGATCCATCTAGTCATAACACACCATGTCAATGAGGTTGTCATTATCACCATCCCATCAATACATTGGATGATGAAAGAGAGAGAGTGGGACAATTTAATTAAGACATGTATGGTGGGACCATTTTCCTTCCATCACCATTCAATGAGTTGTTGGGGACTGTGTTCATCCCAATTGACTGTGACTAAGGATGTATTTTTGCAGATGACTCCATTTATACCACCTTCATGTCGTGTGTATAGAAAATTTCCCCTCCACAAATAGAATAGTTAACTATTGGGAAGAAAAAAAAATGCTGTGATCCATCTAGTCATAACACACCATGTCAATGAGGTTATCAGTTATTACCATCCCATCAATAGGATGATGAAAGAGGGAGAGTGGGACAGAATTTAATTAATGACATGTAAGGATGGACCCTTTTCCTTCCATCACCAGTCAATGAGTTGTTGGGGACTGCGATAAACCTCATTGCCATGGAGTTATCATGACCATATATATCATACTATATTTTCCTTTTACTATTCCTGCAATAGTATATGTAGAACTTTCATTAAGGTCATTGCAACTACAAGAAGCCAGCAGAATGATTATTTTTCAGAGATCTATGACCTGATAAAGAGATATAGTTGATAAAGAATCATTTGGGTTAGTTTCACATATTAAATATATATACGGCAATAATAAGAAAACAAAAGAAGGGTGTATCCATGCATAGGAAAGGTTACCTTGATTGTCACATAGATAAGCACTGGGAGGAATTCATCAGCTCCAGGGGGGTTATCATTTGATGCAATTGATGCATTTAACAGCAAGTTGTTGATGACTTTGCAGCAGTGGAGGATACAGAGAAGTTTGTCTCGTGGAGCTTTATACATATTAATTTTCTGTAGTTCTTTCTGCGCTAGCTGAAAAACAGATAAAAGCAAAAGTCTTTTAGTGGTCACAAGCTAATTTATGCAAGACACAAACACAATCTTGTAAGCATATAGACAGGTATCACAAACCTTACAAGGAATGCAACAATATTTTCCATGGCATACCTTTGTGAAAAAATTTGTAGCAAGACTGAGACATATGATAATACAGAAGTGCAAAAACACAGTAACATTGGTCACTCAATTCTCCACCCATGTATTTTACCTCATTGAATGGTTCTGCTGATAATTGTAAGGGGCACAAATCATGACCCTGTATCTTGTAGATTATCTTTTCATATTATTTAGTTTATTATTAAATAATGAGCACATACATCTACATGTATACATTCATGAAAGCGCACACTTTTGCATGCCCGTACTATATGTTGCATTTCCTGCCCTAGATTACAGCCCCATCTCCAAGCAAACACAAAAGTATGCAATATGCCATTGGTCAAGAAGAATCCATGGAAAAACCTAACAAATAAAGGACCAATGGAAAAAACAGTTGTCTTTCATTTTCAAACTTCATCATCATCATCAAAGCCTTTTCTCAACTAATTGCGGTTGGCTACACGAATCTTGATCCACCATTCTGCTCTACTAAGGACCGTACCCTCATTAAGGCTATAAGACCCCATATATTTTCTCGCTACTTCCAACCATGCCTTTTTGGACCTACCCCTTACCCTTTTTGAGCTTCCACTTGAACTAACTCGCACCTCCTAACATGTGTTGTCTGTGCCACACATAGTCAGCCCACCTAAGTCTACTCTCTCATCTTATTGCCTATTGGTACCACACCTAAATTTTTTTGAATGTATTCATTTCGAATTCTATACATTCATGTCTTGCCACTCATCCATCTCAATATCTTCATCTCCGCTATACTCATTATATGGGTATGTTGTTTTTGGACAACCTAGCATTCCGCCCTATAGAGCAAAGTTGGTTTCACAGTTGTCCTATAGAACTTGTCATTCAGCTTCATTGGGATGCGGCAATCACATAAAATTCCGGTTGCACATCTCCACTTCACCTCCCTAGCTCTAATTCTATGTGTGCATTTTCTTCAATCTCTCCATTTTTTTCTCTACTTCTATTATTACTAAAATTGCATTTCATATACTCTATCTTAGTCAAGCTAATTTTAGAACATTTAGATTCTAGCATCCCTCCAAATTCTAAATTTGTATTGTCAAACCTAATTTATCATCACCAAGAATCACCTAGAGCCAGGTCCATCCCAGTTATTATTGCTATAGGAACAGCATTTCATCCTTAACATCAACAGTTCTGCCAATAGAACTTTTGCGAAGTTTCATAGCATTGAAACTTAACGAGGAAGTATCCTCCATCCATCGGTAAGATCTAAATGGAGATGTTGATACTAAAGATCTAAATCATGAGGAGACACAACTTGATATAACAAGAAATTGTTGCTAAACACAACTTCATCCAACTTAAGGGAGTTTTTCCCAGGACCTAAACCATGGGGAGTGCAGGACTGACAAGTGAACTCTACCTCTAATCGCTCAACTTGCATGATAAGCTGACACCATTGCCGCCAGCATCAACCTCTTTGCCCTTATTGTTCAATCTTATGCCTCTCTCTCTCTCT